ATATTTATGGGGTGAAGGGTGACATTTCAATACATGCATACAATCCATAATGATTGAATCTGGGTAATTGGCATATCCATCATCTCAAAAGTTTGTCATTTCTTTGTGCTGGTAATGTACAAAATTTTTCTCCTCTCAGTATTTGAAAATATACAATAAATTATTGTTCACTGTAGTCACCCTGCAATGCTACAGAACACTAAAACTTATTTCTCCTATCTATATGTAATTTGGTATTCATTAATCAACCTCTGTCTTCTTTACTCCCTACTCTTCTCAGGCTCTAGTAACCACTGTTCTACTTTCTGCTTCTCTGAGATCAACTTTTTTAGCTCCCACATGTAAGGGAGAATATATGAAACTTGCCCTTTTGTGCCTTATTTCACTTAACGTAATGTCCTCCAGGCTCATCCATGTTGCCACCAATGATAGGATTTTATTCTCTTTTATGGGGGCATCCCATTGTGTATATATACCACATTTTCTTTATTCATCTATTGACAGACACTTAGGTGGATTCCATATCTTCATTACTATAAATGAAACTGCAGTAAAGATGGGAGTGCAGTTATCTCTTTGATATACTGTTTTACTTTCTTTGGCTATAGTCCAGTAGTGAGATTACTGGGTCATATGGTAGTGCTATTTTTAGCCTGTTAAGAAACTTCCATACTGCTTTCTATAATAGCTGTACTAATTTACATTCCTACCAACAATGTGTGAGAATTTTCTTTGTCACTTATACACTGTTGGTGGGAATGTAAATTAGTTCAGCCACTGTGAAAAATCAGTTTGGAGATTTCTTAAAGAACTATTAATAAAAACTGACACATCATTAAACCTAGCAATCCCACTACTGGATATATGCCCAAAGGGAAATAAATTGTTCTACAAAAAAAAGTCATGCACTTACATGTTGGTTATAGCACTATTCACAATAGCAAAGACATGGAATCGACCCAGGTGCCCATCAATGGTAGACTGCATAAAGAAAATGTGGTGGTACATATACACCATGGAATGTACCTTAAAAAGAGGAATGAAATCATGTCTTTTGCAGCAACATGAATGCAGCTGGAGGCCATTATTCTAAGCAAGTTAACACAGAAATAGAAAACCAAATACTACATTTTCTCACTTATAAGTGTGAGCTAAACATTAGGTACACATGGACATGAAAAACGGGAATGATAGACCGTGGGGGGTATAAAAGGAGGAAGTGAAGGGAAGGAAGGTTGCAAAACCACCTATTGGGTACTGGAAGGGTTGTAAAGCCACCTGTTGGATACTATGCTCACTACTTGGGGCTTAAATGTAAGACCCCAAATTATGAAATTACTAAGAGAAAACATAAAGGAAATGTTCTGAGCAAAGACTTTATGGATAAGACCTCCAAAACATCGACAACAAAAGCAAAAATAGACTAATGGAATTATATCAAACTAAAAATTTCTGTGCAGCAAAGGAAACAATCATACTCCGAAACTTCATCATCACGCAATATACCCTTGTCACAGACCTGCACGTGAACCCCCAAATCTAAAGTAAAAGCTGAATTTTTTTTAAGTTTCCTTTTATCTGCATCCTTGCTAGGTTTGTTATTTTTTCCCCTTTTTGAGAATAGCCATTCTAGCTGGGGTGAGATTATATTCCACTGTGATTTTGATTTGCATTTCCCTAATCATTACTCACATAGAGCATTCTTTCAAATACTTAGTGGTCATTTGATGTCTTCTTTTGAGAAATGTCTGTTCAGATCAATTGCCCATTTTAAAAATCAGATTATTGGGCTTTTGGCTGTTTTTTAAGTACCTTGTATATTCCGGATATTATATATTTGTCAGAGAAACCATTTGCAAATATTTTCTCCCTTTCTGTAATTTGTCACACCACTCTGTTGATTGTTTCCTTTGCTGCACAGAAATTTTTAGTTTGATATAATTCCATTAGTCTATTTTTGCTTTTGTTGTCGATGTTTTGGAGGTCTTATCCATAAAGTCTTTGCTCAGAACATTTCCCTTATGTTTTCTCTTAGTAGTTTCATAATTTAGGGTCTTACATTTAAGTCTTTGACTCATTTTGAGTTGCTTTTTGTATATTATGATAGATGGGGCTCTAGTTTCATTCTTCTATGTATGAATATCCAGTTTCCCCAACAACATTTATTGGAAAGGGTGCCCTTTTTTCAGTTTATGTTTTGGTACTGTTGTAGAAAATCAGTTGGCTAAAAATACGTGAATTTATTTATGGGTTCTCTATTCTGTTCCAGTGGTTTATGTGTCTGTTTTAATGCCAATACAGCGCTGTTTTACTATGGCCTTATAGTATATTTTAAAGTAAAGTAATGTGATCCCTCTAGTTCTTTTTGCTCAGAACTGCTTTGGCTTGGCCAGGAGCAGTGGCTCATGCCTATAATACCAGCACTTTGGGAGGCTGAGGCTGGTGGATCACTTAAGGTCAGGAGTTTGAGACCAGCCTGACCAACATGATGAAACCCTATCTCTACTAAAAATAGGGCATGGTAGTGCATGCCTGTAATTCCAGCTACTGAGGTGGCTGAAGCAGGAGACTTATTTGAACCCAGGAGGCAGAAATTACAGTGAGCTGAGATCATGCCACTGCACTCCAGCCTGAGTGACAGAGGGAGACTCTGTCTCAAAAATAAAATAAAATAAAATAAAATAAAATAAAATAAAATAAAATAAAACAATTGCTTTGGCTATTTGGGTTCTTTTATGGTTCCTAACAAATTTAACAATTTTTTTCTATTTCTGTGAAAAATGTCATTGAAAATTCGATAGTGATTGCATTGAATCTGTAGATTGCTTTGGGTAGCATGGAATCTTAACAATATTAATTTTTCCAATCCATGAACATGGGATATCTATCCAATTTTTATGTCCACTTTAATTTATTTGATTAGTGTTCTGTAGTTTTTATTCTAGAGATATTTCACCTCTTTGGTTAAATTTACTCCTAGGTGGGTGGTTATTTTTTTATAGCTATTGTAAGTGGGGTTCCATTTTTTATTTCTTTTACAGATAGTTTATTATTGGTGTATAGAAATGCTACTGGTTTTTATATGTTGATTTTGTATCTCACAGCTTTACTGAATTTGTATATGAATTCTAAGAGTTTTTTGGTGGAGTCTTTAGATTTTCATACATATAAGATAATGTCATCTGCAAACATGGTCAATTTGACTTACTGCTTCCAAATTTGAATATCTTTTATTTCTCTCTCTTGCTTAATTGCTCTGGTTAGAACTTCCAGTACTAAATACTGTGGAATAAGAGTAGTAAGGGTGAGCATTCTTGTCCCGTTCCAGTTTTCAGAGAAAAAACTTCCAACATTATCCTGTTCAGTACAATGTTAGCTGTGGATTTGTCATATATGGCCTTTATTAAGTTGAAGTGTGTTCCTTCTTATTTTTTGGGAGTTTTTATCATGGAGGGATGTTGAATCTTATCAAATGTTTTTCTGCATCTATTGTGGTGATCATATGATATTTGTCCTTCATTCTGTTGATGGGATGTATTATGTTTATGGATTTGCATATGTTGAACCACTCTTGCATCCCTGGAATAAATCCCTCCTGGCTATAGTAAATAATCTATTTAATGTGCTGTTGGATTCAGTTTGCTAGTATTTTGTTGAGGAACTTTCCATTTATGTTCATCAGGGATACTGGCCTGCAGTATTCTTTTGTTGTTGTATCCTTGTTTGGTTTTTGTATCAGGCTAAATCTGGCCTTACAGAATAAGTTTGGAAGAATTCTCTCCCCTTCAAGTTTTTGGAATAGTTTGAGAAGAAATGGTGTTAAAAGTTGGTAGAATTTAGTAGTAAAGTCATCCATTCCTGAGGTTTTTTTTTTTTGTTTTTTTTTTTTTAATTGGGAAACTTTTTATTGTTGTTTAATAAACATTATTTTTGCCGTTCCTCAAAGCTTGTTATTGGTCTGTAGATTTTGTACTTTTTCCTGGTTCAATCTTGATAGGTTGTAGGTGTCCAGAAATTTATCCATCTCCTCTGGGTTTTCCAATTTGTTGGTGTTCATAATAGTCTCTTATGATCCTTTATATTTTTGTGTATCAATTGTAACATCCCCTTTTTCATTTATTTGGGTCTTCCTTCTTTTTTCTTAGTTTAGGTAATGCTTAGTCCATTTTCTTTTTGAAAAACAACTTTTCATTTTGTTGATCTTTTGTGTCACTTTTCCAACCTATTTTATTTATTTCTGTTCCGATCTTTATTATTTAATTCCTTCTACTAATTTGGAGTTTGCAGGTTTTGTTTTATTGTTTTGCTTTTGCAGTTTCCTGAGATTCACTGTTAAGTGGTTTGTTTTAAATCTTTCTACTTTTTTGTTGTAGGCAATCATTACTATGAACTTTCCTCCTAGTACTGCTTTTACTGTGTTCCATAGATTTTGGTATGCTGTGTATCAATTTTTATTCATTAGACATGTTTTCAATAAGTTGTTTTTTTTTCTTAATTTAGTCATTGACCCATTGGTCATTCTGGAGTATGTTGTTTAATTTCCAAGTATTTGTATAAAAAAACCCTAATTTTTAAAGAAGGGCAAAAGATTTGAACATATACTTCAATAAGCCTATGAGATGATACTCAGCATCATTAGTCATGGGGGAAATGCAAACTATGACCAGCATAAAATAATAGTAAAAATTTTTAAATTGCTAAAATATAAAAGCCTGATAATACCAAATGTTAACAAGGGTGTAGAACAACTAGAATATTCACACACTGATGCTATACATGTAAAACTATACAATTGCCTTATAAAACAGTCTGGTGATTTCTCAAAAAGCTAATCAACTTATCTACCATATGTCTCAGCTATTCTATTTCTGGATGTTCGCTCAAAAGAAATAAAACAGTATGTGTAAGAATTAAAGAAAGAGGAAAGAAACATGAAAGGTGGCTTGCCAGTTAAGATTTTATTTCAGAGAAAACAAACTAGAGAGGAGTTTCTGGCCAAGTTAGGTTGGAGGCACATTCTCTTACAGACTAAGAGTTTTCAAGGATTTAGTGTGGGAGTTTATTAGAGGCTTGGACTCCTTTTGTGGGGCTTTTTATTTGTGTGTGTGTGTGTGTGTGTGTGTGTGTGTGTGCGTGCGTATTTATTTGGGAGGGAGAGTTGTGTGTCTGTTTTTACACATTTTTCTACACCTGCAGGCATACCCCCTGAGGTCTGCTTTTAGCTTCCTTATTTTAGTGCACTTGAAGGGAAAGGAATGTGCTTATTAAGGTCTACTGTTTTACTGAGGTCCATTGTATGAGGGTGAAGCTTGCCAGTTACCCAAGAGACTTTTCTTCCACCTTCCTCTGTGCCCAAGCTGTTTTATCTATGTTTTACTGTCTTCCCTTTTTGGCTGCTTGTAGTTAGAAGAGAAGTGATTTCCTTGAAATACATGAGGCTAGAAAGGAAGCTGGAACTTACAGTGGTGGTGTTTGTCCAAGATGACACTGCTCCTGCTCTGACAGTATATCCATATAATAACTTGTACACTAATGTTTATAGAACCTATATTCATCATATCCAAAAAGGGAATACAAGCCAAGTGTCTATCAACAGGTAAATAGATAAACAAATTGTGATATATACACACAATAGACCCAGTAATAAAGAGGAACAAGCTATTAATACATCCAAGAACATGGATGAATCACAAAAATATTGTGACACAGACATGCAAGTCAGACAAAAGAGTACATAGTATGCATTCCACTTATATAAATTTCTTTAAAATATAAATTTGTCTCCAGTAATAGAAAGCAGACCATCTCTACTAGATATCAAAGCATTAGTAATCTAAACAATGTGGCAGTGGTATAGTGACAAACAGACCATAAAACACATTAGATTGTACAGAAACAAACTGACATACATAAAGAAACCCAATACGCAACAGAAGTGACATCATAAATTCCTTGATAAAGGATGGATTATTTGATAAATGGCACTCACACAACTGACTGTCCATCTGGGGGGAAATGAAATGGGCTTCCTAATTTCACCACACGCAAAGATAAATTCCAAGTGGATAAAAGATCTAACTAAGGAAAGCAAAAGTTTAACATTTTTAGAATATATTTGACCCTTTTGTGATCTCACATTAATCAGTTCTTAAATAAGATACAAAAGGCACAATCATAAAAGAAAACATAAATTTGATCAAATTTAAATCTTTAATAAGATAAGGAACATGATCAATAGAGTCAAGAGTTAAGCCATAGACTGGGAGACTAAATTTACAATCCACATACGTTGCAGAAGATTGGAATCCTGAATGTAGAAAGAGGCAATTCAATATAAGAACAAGGAAAATAAAATAGGCTTTTCATAGAAGAAACAAGAAATACATAAAAAGATAATCACTTGTGTTAATGATCAGGGAAGCAAAAAAATAAAACACAAAGAAATGAGCAAATTTTTTTTTAATTTGAGAATTCCAAATGATGAGGAGGATGAATAGCAATGAGGACTTTATACCGCTTTTGTGAAAATAAAGTGCTACAACAATTTTGGTGACCATCTGGCCATAGGCAATGTGGCAGACACAGTTCGTTCCCTACTCTGGAAGATTTCTTTTACCCTTCTTCCCTATTGGGAAAGTATATCTCCTATTATGATTCAAAATATCAAATTCACGCTTCTCTGGCCTCTTTTATAGTTTTGGGTAAGCCTGTGGCTTGGTTCTGGCCAGGGAAACTTAAGGAGAAGCCTAGAGAGGGTTGAAAGAGGACTGCTGGGAAATATGTTATTTGGGGATGAAAGGAGACTTGAAATGAGGGTGTGTTCTTGCCCTTCTCCCTGCCTTCTGTTCCAGGTATATGAGGACATAATGCAGCAACCTTGTGACAAAAAGCTGGAACCCACCTCAGGGAGATGGAAGAGTGGAAGGAAAGAGCCTCAGCCATCACTGAGCTGCTGAACCAACCCTTTGACCACCCTACTTTTGGATGTCTTATTATATGTGTCAAATATATTTTAAAGTGGCCAGGCACTATGGCTCATGCCTGTAATCCCAGCACTTTGGGAGGTCAAGGTGGGAGGATTGCTTGAGGCCAGGAAGTTGAGACCAGCCTGGGCAACAGAGTCAGACCTCATCTCTATAAAACATTTGTTTAAAATTTAAAATATATTTTAAACCTTTTCAGTTGAGTGTTCTGTGACTTGCAGCCAAAATCATCTTAAATTGGTATATCTGCTGTTATTTGTTGAATTTTATCCACCCAAAGAATGTTGAAATCCTAACCCTCAGTACCTCAGAATATGACCTTATTTGGAAATAAGGTTTTCCAGATAATCAAGTTAAGTTGAGGTCATTAGGGTGAACTTAATCCCATACAACTGGGTCCTTATAAAAAGGGGAAATTTGGACATAGAGACAGAGAGAAGACAATATGAAGACACTGGGACAACACCATCAACAAGACAAGGAATGCCTGAGGTTACTAGCAGCTTGGCGGAGGGCATGGAGCGGATTATCTCTCACAGCCTTCAGAAGGCACCGACTCTTCTGACACCTTGATTTTAGACTTCCAGCCTACAGAACTGTGAGACACTACACTGCTATTGTTGAAGTCACCCAGCTTATTGTACTTTATCATGGAAGCTGCAGCACACTAGCACTGGTGGAGATGGCACACCTTACAACCTTAGTCATTCCACCTTTGTCTTTCTGTTAAACACACTGGAAAAAAATCATATGCACAAGTAGACGTGTATGTTTTAGCATTGTTTATGCCAGCAAAAGCTGACAAAAAGATAATAGACTAATGAATAAATAGATAATAATAAATAAATGAGTTGTATGGTCATTCAATAGGATACTATGTAGCACTTAAAATTGATGAACCAGAGTTTATATATTAGCAGGGGTAAATCTCAAAAGTGATGTCATTAAAATCACTAAAATATATTGTTAGCTAGAAAAGCAAAGTTCACTCTACAGGACAAAAACACATAGTAAATGCAAATGAAGATTAAACTGAGGTAACAATCCCTCCTTATCAGACTGGCAAAAATAAAAATCAGAAAATTTGAAGATACTCTGTGTAGGATAGGTATGGGGAAATAGGAGTACTCATTGCCTCAAGAAGATAATTGCCTTGTGAAGAGAAGTGTGACAATGTTTTCAAAATTAAAAGTAACATATGCTTTAACTTAGCAATCCTACTTCCAGAATTCTATCTTATACACAGATCCACCCATGTATACATACAGAAGGATTTCATTGCAGCATTGTCTATAATGTTGCCAAAGGTTTAAAACAATCTGAATATTCATAGATACAAGTCCAAAGTATAGAAAATTCATAAAATAAGATCTACATAATTATTAGAATGAAACATAGCTACACTGATCATCAACATACATGGTAGAATGAAAAGAAAGTAAGACACAGAAGAGGGAGAGGGGACCCAAGATGGCCGACTAGGAACAGCTCAGGATTGCAGCGCCCAGTGAAAGTGCAGAGGGTGAGTGGACACTGCATTTCCAGACAGATTTTTATTGCCCACAGACCAGGAGATTCCCAGGCGGAGGAGCCCCACGGGTCGCCAGCGCGGCTGTTTTGGCCAGCGCGGCTGTTTTGGCCAGCGCGGCAGACGTGGCTACTTTGCCGGCGCCCTGGTGCAGGGTCCTCCATACCAAATACACTGGTCCGCGTGCCCTTTTAGCTGGCGATTGGAGACCCAGGAAGGCAGATTGCCCATTCATCTGATTTAAAAAGGAACTGAAACAGGGAGCCAGGCCAGGAGATTCCTAGGCAAAAAAACCGCCACGAATCTCAGTGCCGCTGTTTCAGCTGGTGCAGTGGGTCACTGCACGGGAAATCACACAGATGCTGGTGCCTTTTCAACAGGCAACTGGAACACCTGGGAGAGAGTTGACCGTTCAACTAAAAAAAAAACAAAACAAAAAAAAAAAAAACCAGACTCAGAGTCAGGGAGTCAGGCGATCAGGCTCAGCTGGACCCACCCCTCACACACACACACAAAAACAGCAATTGAAAACGCTCTGGGTTGAGAGTTTCACAGCAAGCACAGCTGAACCCCGGACGGTCCAGCTTTGTGCGGGGAGGGGCGTCTGCCATTATCAAGACACTCCACCACTACGGAGGTAGTCCACCATCGCTTAGGCAGCCCACCATTGCCAAGGCAACCTGCCATTACAGAGAGAGTCTGCCATTACAGAGGCAGGCCACCATTGCCAAGGCAGTTCTAATTACACCTACACAAACAGGACTGCAGGGAAGATCACACAGCAGCTGGGCAGAGCCCACAGCAGCTCAGCAAAGCCTCTGCAGGCAGACAGTAACTAGGCTGCATCCTCACTGGGCAGGGCAGCCCTGAAAAAAAAAGGCAGCAGCACAATGGAAACTCATAAATAAAGCCCTAACTCCCTGGGACACAGCACCTGGGGGGGAAAAAAAGGAGTTTATGAGTTCTGCTGCAGCAGACCTAAACGTACCTGCCCAGCAACTCTGAATGAACAACAGAGCTCACAGCCCAGCACTTGAGCTCCAGTAAAGGACAGACTGTCTCCTCAAGCAGCTCCCTGAACCCCGTATGTCCAAAGAGTCACCTCATAAAGGAGAGAACACACTGCCATTTGGTGGGTATCCTTCTGGGACAAAGATAGCAGAAGAAGAAACTGGTAGCAACTCTTACTGTTCTGCAACTGCTGCAGGTGATTCCCAGGCAAGCAGGGTCTGGAGTGGACCTCAGCAGTCCTACAGCAGAGGGGCCAGACTGTTAGAAGAAAAACTAAGAAACAGAAATAACTTCATCATCCACAAACTGGAAGTTTACCCAGAGACTGAATCTGAAAGTCAGCAACTACAAAGACTACAGGTGGATAAATACACAAAGATGGGAAGAAGCCAGCACAAAAAGGATGAAAACACCCGAAACCAGAACACCTCTCCTCCTACAAAGGATCACAACTCCTAACCAGCAAGGGAACAAGGCTGGATGGAGAATGAGTGTGATGAAATGACAGACTCAGACTTCAGAAGGTGGTTAATAAGAAACTTCTGTGAGCTAAAAGAACATGTTCTAACCCAATGCAATGAAACTAAGAACCATGAAAAAAGATTTGATGAAATGCTAATGAGAATGGACAACGTAGAGAGGAATATAAGTGAATTGATGGAGCTGAAAAACACAACACAAGAACTTTGTGAAGCATGCACAAGTTTCAACAGCCAAATTGACCAAACAGAAGAAAGGATATCAGGGGTCGAAGATCAACTCAATGAAATAAAATGAGAAGGCAAGAATAGAGAAAAAAGGAATGAACAAAGTTTCTAAGAAATGTGGGACTATGTGAAAAGACCTAATCTACGTTTGATAGGTGTACCTGAATGTGATGAAGAGAATGAATCCAAGCTGGAAAATACTCTTCAGGATATTAACCAGGAAAACTTCCCCAACCTAGCAAGGCAGGCCAATATTCAAGTCCAGGAAATACAGAGAACACCACAAAGATATTCCTCAAGAAGAGCAAACCCAAGGCACATAATCATCAGATTCACCAGGGTTGAAATGAAGGAGAAAATGCTAAGGACAGCCAGAGAGAAAGGTCGGTTTACCCACAAAGGGAAGCCCATCAGACTCACAGCAGGTCTCTCAGCAGAAACCCTACAAGCCAGAAGAGAGTGGGGGGCCAATATTCAACATCCTTCAAGAAAAGAGCTTTCAAACCAAAATCACATATCCAGCCAAGCTAAGCTTTATAAGTGAAGGAAAAATAAAATCCTTTGTGAACAAGCAAGTACTCGAAAACTTCATCACCACCAGGCCTGATTTACAAGAGCTCCTGAAAGAGGCTCTACACATATAAAGGAACAACCAGTACCAGTCACTCCAAAAACATAGCAAATGGTAAAGAGCATCAACACAATCAAGAATATGCATCATTAACAGGCAAAACAGCCAGCTAGCATCAAAATGGCAGTATCAAATTCACACATAACAATATTAACCCTAAATGTAAATGGACTAAATGTCCCAATCAAAAGACACAGACTGGCAAATTGGATAAAAAGCCAAAACCCATCGGTGTGCTGTATCCAGGAAACCCATCTCACATGCAAGGGTACACAAAGGCTCAAAATAAAGGGATGGAGGAAGATTTACCAAGCAAATGGAGAGCAAAACAAATGCAGGAGTTGCAATTCTCATCTCAGATAAAATAGACTTTAAAGCAACAAAGATCAAAAGAGACAAAGAAGGACATTATATAATGGTAAAAGTATCAATGCAACGAGAAAAGCTAATGATCCTAAATATATATGCACCAAATACAGGAGCACCCAGATACATAAGGCAAGTTCTTCATGACTTACAAAGAGACTTAGACTCCCACACAATAATAGTGGGAGACTTTAACACCCCATTGTCAATATTAGACAGATCAACCAGACAGAAAATTAACAAGGACATCCAGGACTTGAACTCAGACCTGGACCAAGCAAACCTAATAGACATTTACAGAACTCTCCACCCCAAATCCACAGAATATACATTCTTCTTAGCACTACATCACACCTATTCTAAAATTGACCACGTAATTGGAAGCAAATCACTCCTCAGCAAATGCAAAAGAATGGAAATCATAACAAACAGTCTCTCAGACCACAGTGCAATCAAGTTAGAACTCAGAATTCAGAAACTAACTCAGAACCACACAGCTTCATGGAAACTGAACAACTGGCTCTTAAATGTTGACTGAATAAACAATGAAACGAAGGCAGAAATAAAGATGTTCTTCGAAACAAACGAAAATGAAGACACAATGTACCAGAATCTCTGGGACACATTTAAAGCAATCTCTAGAGGAAAATATATAGCAATAAGTGCCCACATGAGAAGCAAGGAGAGATCAAAAATTGACACCCTATCATCAAAATTGAAAGAGCTAGAGGAGCAAGATCAAAAAAACTCAAAACCTAGCAGAAGACAAGAAATAACTAAGATCAGAGCAGAACTGAAGGAGATAGAGACACAAAAAACCCTTCAAAAAATCAATAAATCCAGGAGCTGGTTTTTCGAAAAGATCAACAAAATAGACAGACCACTAGCCAGATTAATAAAAAAGAAAAGAGAGAATAACCAAATAGTTGCAATAAAAAACGATAAAGGGGATATCACCACAGATTCCACAGAAATTCAAACCATCATCAGAGAGTATTACAAATAACTCTATGCACATAAACTAGTAAACCTGGAAGAAATGGATAAATTCCTGGACACTTGCCTCCTCCCAAGCCTAAACCAGGAAGAAGTCGAAACCCTGAATAGACCAATAACAAGGGCTGAAGATGGGGCAGCAACTAAGAGCCTACCACCCAAAAAAAGCCCAGGTCCAGATGGGTTCACAGCC